ATTATCCTTTAAAGGAGAAAAATGCGACAGGAAATCTGCAACGTCGTTAAGCGACATACGTGGTTCGGTACTTCCTTCATTGACAAATGTCTTCTAACTTTCATCATTTTGGATGCACAGCAAAATACTGGCAACCGGGCATGATGCCTAAAAGATAAATAGCATCGAAAACATTTGAGATAACTGCTAAACACTGAACTTTGGGTTCACTCCGCCACGCCGCCGCAATTGACATAGCCGACTCCTGCATACGCTTACCGCGGCAACCAGCACTGCAGGGTTACTTGACGATTTTGATGAGAATAAAATATGGGAGCTGGGATCACCAACTCGCCTTCGGGGCTGGGGTGGTTTCTCTGTGGAAGTTCCAAGCCACATTCAGTCATTCATGAATATCCTCAAAGTTGCGCCTCACCCGTTAAGTTTAGGAGTTTCAAAATCTTTTCTCAGTGTGTCGAGAGCTGGAGAAAAAGAATGAAGAGAAGGGAAGAGGGAAAAAAAAGGAGAGGAGAGGTCTAGAGGTAGGGAGAGAGGAAGAGGGAAATTAAGAAGAGGAGGAGAGAAAATGAGGAAAGATGGGCAAAGATGAAAATAGAAAAGGAGAGAAGAGGAAGAAGAAAGATGAGGAGGCAGAAGAACATCAATAGCTAGAAAGAGAAGAAAAAAAGAAGATGAGACAAGGAATAAGAGGGAAAAGTCGATGAAATAGAGGAGTTAGAGGTGAGTGAGAAAGACAAAAATAAGAAAAGAAGGGGAAAAGGGCCAGGAAAATGAGAAGATGGAGGAAGAGAAGAAAAAGAAAGAAGATAGGAAAAGGAGTAGCAGGGGAAAGTGGATAACGTAGAGAAGGCAGAGGAGAGTGAAGAAGAAAGAAAGAAGGAAAGAGGAAAAAAGAGAACCAGGAAAATGAGAAAAGAGGGAAAAGAAGATGACAGAGGAAAATGAGAAAAGGAGAAAAAATATGAAGGACGAAAAGGAGAATTGGAGGAAGAAGTGGCTCATGAATATCCTGCAAGTTTCGCCTCGCCCGATAAGTTCAGTAGTTTAGAAATCTTGGAGTTTGAGTGTGTCAAGTGCCGTGCCTCCCGGCTCCTGAGCAAGAATGCAACGCGGTTGAAAGTATGTGTGCACTGTGCACCCACTCAAACGCTTCACTCCAGATTTGATTACCCTAGTTTTCAGAGACGAAGATCTGAGAACGCGGTTTCATAATAATTCGTTGATATATTGGAGCTCATGCCAATTTCAATCTTTGAAGAGGATACAGTGATGCTGGGTGTTTTTGATCACCAATATAGGAATAAATGTAGATCATTTTGAACGGGTTATGTGTACGGAAAATTTCCGGAATAATTTGGGCGTTTTCTGATAGATTGCGTAGAGCATTCGTGAAACATTCTCAGCATATTGAAATTTACTGCAGTATACTTATATTGGTGGACTATTTTTTGAGTCGTATTTGCTCAGGGGGTTATTAATGCGCGTGTATACTTTTTGAAACGGAATTTAAATGATGATTTTTGATACAATATTAGTATTACAAATTTACAGATAACTTGGCAATAGACCAATACCACCCAGCCTTTTAACACCACTTCAGGTGTTGTAAGACAATGGAAATGAAACTTGTAAAATGTTTCCTTCTCTTCCGGTGTTGAGCCTGTAAATAACTCCCTATCTGGCTGAATCAAATTATTTACCATTATTTCGTACTCTACTCGTCACCTTTTGAATATTTTCGTACCTCAGAGAGGTTCTCATATGGTTTATATATTATGAGCAGATCAAAGGAGTCATTAAAAGAATAGTGTGTACGATTCTCGGCTGGAATTCAAAATTATAACTCTAGATTCTTGAAAAAGATTAACATGAGTAATGACTAAACAAGACAAAATACAACAGAAAGTAAATTGCGAATTTTGCAAATTTAAAGAAAGCATTCAATTTTGAAAATTATCGGTGGCAAACATTTCAATCCTTGCAAAGATCTGTCTCCAAAGTTACATCGTTGGATTATTTGCTCATGGATCGTGAAGATCTTATTCTTTGAATATTCATTTGCGAGTAAGGAAACATCGAGTTATTGAAAAAATTTGCCGTAAAATACTGGTTTCACTCAACATTTTAAGCAGAAGATGGATCTATTGCGTCTAGAAGGACCTTTCAGCTGTCCCAATTGCCAAATTTTCTTCGGTAAAATGTTTATTTTTGAGGAAAATTATGAATATTTTTCCTTGAAATTTTCAAAATCTCTAGGTTACATTGCGAACAGAAGTATCTAAAAAAATTTGAAGAAAAATATTTTTAAGTGTCCCAGGAAATTCGTGTTTTATCAAAGACAATTTTGCAACACCTGAAGGCTCTTACGGCATTTTTCTTAGCACGGTAGTATTAGCACGACCCTATTCTGCCGTGTTAAGGAAGAACGCCGTATGAGCCTTCAGACGTTGCCACATTTCCTTCGATGAACACCGAATTCACTGGGCAAATTGGAAATATTTCCTTCCAGGATTTTCACACAATTTCATACTCAATTTAATCCAAAGTATCCGAAAATAACAAGGGAAAATACGCATAAATTTCGTCAAAATCACAAGTTTTATCCAAGAAAATGTTACCACTCTCGGATGTTCATACGGCGTTCTTCCTTAGCACGGCAGTATCAGCATGCCCCCATCCGTGCCTTATTTTGTGGCTGGGAAAGAGGGTCCAATCATGAATCACTCATGACTCATTTCCGCCGGGAGAGTGCGCTGAAGTTACAATGGGCTCTCTGGCAACGACAGGAACCTACGAAACTGGCTGCCAAATTACCTCTTACAAGTTTTTGCCGGTGCGGTAGCGGGTAGCGCAAGAACTGCACGGCTCCGTTCCGCAAGGGTAACGGCGGGGAGAAACTCATCAAAGTGTAATGCATTCTAATAAACTAAGAGCGCTCTTTGCTGCGACACGTTATCGCGGAATAACTCATTAACTCTACGTTGCTCTTAGCTGTTTTTAAACTTCCAGTATTTCCCGCCGTCCCCTCCTCCTTACTCCTCTTCCTGCCCCCTCTCCACTACCCCCTCTCCACTTATCCGATTCCGTAATGCTCTAGCAGAGGGGTAACAATATCATTCCGACGGTTTGACTTTCGGGTCTTAAGTTTTGAAATGTGAATGCGTCAAGACTCGGGAAGCATTTAGTCGTCATCGGATGAAAATTTGTGAGTCCTTGTGTATCAGACTCTTGCACAATCCATGCGCTGGATTCACGTAAAAGTACTCATCGGATTTACGTAAAACTTACGTAACGACGGTGCTAGACGTATATGAAACTTATGCAAATCAGTGACGTACCGTGGGGAGAAATTAACGAGTTTACGCAAAGTAAGTCGCATCAAGATTGAACCGACAAATGAGGTTTCAAATTGATTCCTCCGTAAGACTCATTATCACAGAATAGACCGCATTTAGCAGAAAGGAGCCAAGCCACATCAGCCATCGCCAAATCTGACGGGGAAATTTACTTTTTTACAATAGAGCGTTTGTCCGGGTTCCTTTGAAAGTATCAAAGAATTCGCTTCGTGCTATGCAGAAAATTTACTGAAATTTTCACAAAAATTCTCACTTCCGTTTTCGTGTAAAAAATTTAATTGCCCCATTAAATTTGACCAAAGCTGATGTGGCTCGAATCCTTCCTAAACGCGGTCCAATAAAGTTCATCATCTGTTTTTGCATTCAGAATTTTTCCATGACTTTGAATTCTCACTGGTGAAAAAAGTGCAAATAGTTATGCTCAAAATTACATACCCCCGAATCATTTTTCGTCGAAATGTGGCTCGGATCCTTTTTGTTCAATTCAATCCTATATAATATGAGGGGAAGGAGGCAGGGCCGGATTTTCCTACTTGCCACCCGTGGGCCGCCTGTATTTTGCCGCCCCCTCCTCATTTGTTTTGAAACATCAATAAAAACCATCAAGTGAGCGTGCCCGCGGGGAGGGGTGCATAAGACGCGTTTACTCGTGTTTAACACATTTTTTGGGAAAGCCCTATCATCACTACTAGCAAAAGGTCACGGAACTTTGCGCGAAAGTCAAGTTTCGTAAACCTACCTCTAATGGACAAGGCCTTCCATTCATAAGAAATGAATGAAAAAATTATGAAAGAACAAACACAAAATTTGGTTTAATGATTTTAACTTCCGCCGCCGCGCCGCGCCGCGCCGACCGCACCGTGTTTGGCGCAATGCGTGAAGTATTCACGCAGTCTTGGGGGCGCAATGCGAGAAGTTTTCACGCAGTCTTGTAGGCGTTATGCGTTTCACGCTGACCGCACTGTGTTTGGCACAATGCGTGAAGTATTCACGCACTCTTGTAGGCGCTATCCGTTTCACGCTGACCACAATAACCGCACTGTGTTTGATGCAATGCGTGAAGTATTCGTGCAGTCTTGTAGGCGCTAATATGTGTTTCATGCCGATTGCCGCGCCGAGGGCTTCTCCTTTTCATCTCAAGTCCAAGTCATCATTTCTCCCTAAGTCGCGCCGTTCCAGGCTAAATTGTGTGTTTGTTTTCTCTCTTAACTCGACTTATTAAACGTGCTGTCTCTTGTATCTCTGAAAGACGAAAAAATTAGAAATTACTATACTCTCAGGAAATGAGAGATTTTGTAGCCTTTTCTCGTTTGTAATTTTTTTTTTCTAAATCCATTTTTTTTATAACTCCATTTAAAAAAATACAAAATTTGCCACCCCCTAGATTTGCCACCATGGGCCGCAGCCCATGTGGCCACCCCCTTAATCCGGCCCTGGAAGGAGGTGTCTTAAAAGTGAATACACCCTTTTGGATTTTTACAAATCAGTTTGTAATGAATCGTAAGTATTTTTAGTACTTAACTCACGTTCGTGCATTAAAAGTATCATATATTTTGCTTTAATTGTCCTTTCCTTGATTTTTTTCAGGATCTTTTTTTTGCCGAATAAATCTGTCTAAAACCAATATTTTTTGTTTTGTTTCAGAATTTGAAGAGTCAAATCATGACGACAAACATGTGGGTCGAGCAGGTAAATTTGCCATTCATCAAACTATTAAAAACGTATTCATAATAATTATTACAATCAAATAGAGTAAGGGAAAGGATGCTTGTTGAAGACGGCGCAGAGATACAACTATTCGTACTTGATGGATGTCCGAGATGCATCTGCAAAATTGAAGGCGCGAAGGCTCGAGGCGTGATTTTTCAATGCTCCCCTCTATGCTGCCATTATTCATAATTTCAGGAGGCTGATGAATCAATCTACCCTCCATTTCTGTGATCGAATTAGTAAAAATTATACTTTCCATTAGATTGTTGAAAAGCCGTTCATAAATTCCGCGGTTCCGATTGAAAAGCATTTAAAAGAATCTGACGATCTAAACTTTTTGTTTTAAAACTAGAGACATCTTCCCGCCATATTGCAGTGAGCCTTTGCATGATTGCATTGCACCAGCATTGGTGCTTTTACATGCTTGTCGTAGATTGAAAGTCAAAAGCACTCGTATTAGCATACTATCGTAGTAAGGTGTAACGCCTTATGAACATTCGCAGGCCACAAAACCTCCCCTTTTAAAACATCAATTTTAGAACAAAATGATGAATACCTCAACTTGAAATTGTCGGATATTTTTGATCACATTGCAAAGGAAATTCTGTGATTAATTGGACGGGACATACTTACAAGTTTTTCTAAAAATTCGTATTTTATCACAAAAAATTTAGCATTGCACATAGATTGATACAACGTTCTTCCTTAGCTACGCAGTACAGCAATTAATTGAGACATACTTAGTTTCTGCGTCAACAAGTTTGCTTAATTTTACTAAATGGAACTATGCACAAGAGAAAAAGATCGAAACGATTTATGTACAAAGGATTCGCGTGCTTAGTCACTAAGTGAAGGCACTTAGTAAGGAACCTTTTCCTTACAAAATAATAATATATTTTCCTAGATTGTTTATTCGCATCGCTCGCTCAAAAGAAAAGGAAATCCGGAGTTTTCATCGAGCATCTATCTTGCCGCTCAAAAGGGAGGCGAAAAGAAAATTATCATAGCGTCGAGTATCCCCGACAAGGCCGCGGCTACATGAAACACCTCGCCGGAAAGGGGGGGTGGCTGCTGTAAGGAGAGTATGTTCTCCCTTTGCGTTGAGAATAATTACCCGTCATAAAGGTCTCAAGCCCAGTTAAAATTCAAGTGTCGAGCTCTTGAGAATGCGTTAAACGGAACAACCGCGCGTTGGGGAAAAACGCCGTATTGGCATTTTGACGCTGCAAAATTTCCTCCGATTCACAAGAATCCTCAGAAAACCTCGTGAATTTTTTCCTGCAAAATTTGCTGAGAATTTTTATGGAAATGTTCTCAATGTAATTTAAAAATTCAATAGTGGTGCATGTGTCAAGCACGACTTTTCAGAAAAACTCACTGATACTTTTCCCTTTAAATTCTTGGAGAGTTTTATTCGCAGTTTTTAGGGCATCTTAAAATTTTAACAACGTTGTAAGTTCAAGGAAACTGCTACGCCCCAAAAAGCGAGAAAAACTCGGAAGATTTTAACAGCGATTAAGAAAATTTTTGGTTAGGCGTGCCTCTACAAAAAGGGGACCTCGTTTCAGTCTGGTTATGACGCTGGGAACTTTTAAAATCTTATATCTTCGTTAATATAAAACTTAGAAGTTTAAAAGTGGCTCCATTGGTTTCCTTGTAAAATTTCCACAAAACAGCATTCGTCAAGATTCAAATTTTGATTAAATAAACGTGACAATTTTCAATTTTATTTAAAAATGTCATGGCCGACTTCTCGCAATGACTCTTCAGACGGTGCGTCACAACGCTAAAATTCTAGCACAGGCTTTTCTCATTAAATACAATGTCTCATTTTTAAGAGGGCCCCGAGTTCCTGTAAATAGGGGACATTCCACGGAAGCTTTTTTTCTCCGGAAGAAAGATACTTGATCGGGGGAAAGACATACAGTGGCGTGGCGTGCTTTGCGATATATCGATTGTTATGCCATTTAAACCTATGGCAAAGATTCGATTATCAAGGTGTTCGCTGCGAACACCCTGTCTATCGATCCTTTTCCATAGGTTTAAATGGCATAACAATCGATGTATCGCAAAGCACGCCACGCCACTAAAACACAACGACATTCAAATGCTCTTCGGTCGTTTTTCTCCAAACAAGGCGGAACGGGCCGCTTTGCGGGACGACACTCGGAGTGCGAACGGCTCGAGAATGAATTCGTCACTGCGCGGGGCCGCACAGTGGATCGAGTCAATTAGAGAGGTCGGACATGAAATTTTTGACTGGAATTTCAAAATTTTATGTTTATTTCGTCACATTTTAAACTTCAAGGGGTGTTCCTTGAAGAAAATTTTACGAGGAAACCAATGGCACCACTTTTGGAGCTTCAAAGTCTTAAATACACGGTGTTATGAGCGTTTAAAGTTTCCAAATTTTGTCCGACCTCTCCTATTGACTCGATCCATTGTGGGCCGGGGCGAGAAACGTTAGACACAAAGCCGCGGGGAAGACACTCTTTAATGTATTCGCTGCTTTATGGCCATTTTTATTGCGACGAGATAAAGGCGAGGGCGGGCGGAGCCGGAGACCCGGTGCCGCCTCCGCCTTGATTCGCGGAACAATGTGTCTCGAATCGCTGGAGACCGCCACCGCCGTTCCATGCAACTTGGGCTCGTAAAAATAGCCCGCCGCTGAATTTTACTGGTCGAGGTGTGCCAAGTGAAACCCTAATCCGAGGGGTTCTCACCTCTCGGAGTCCCGGCCCGAGGTCGTGGGAATCTTCCGGGCATCCCTTATTCAATTTCCAGGAGAAAATGTCCGAGGGGACAGAGCTTTTCAAGGTTAAAATACGTTGACACGATATTCAGGGTTGCCACAGTCCAGGGATACCGGGAAAACTGGGAAATATCAGGGAATTTTAAAATGTCAGGGGAAACCTGGAAATGTCAGGGAAAATGACGCAAATGTCAAGGAAAAATTATCAAGTCACCTTTATTTGTCCTCGAGTAGGTAAGAAGTTTCGAACGACAAATTTTTCCTGAAAACTATCTCTAACCACAGTGAAAGCTCGCTAAGATGGATTGTGTAGGGGCCGAAAAAAATTTGACTTGATCGGCATTTCGTATTAATCGTAGTTCAACATGGTGAGCTTTCTTTCCAACAATCTGGAATTTGTTCAGTTTTCAGGGAATCCCACCAAAATGTGTCAGGGAAATCAAGGTAATGTCAGGGAATTTAATTTTCCAAATTCTGTGGCAACCATGAATATTGCAATAAATTTTAAGTGGCTCTGCAATAGGAACGCATAACTAAAGTACCTCTATTGGGAGCGTATGTAGTACTCGTATAATAATTTTATTTTTAAGAGGTGTCGAAAAATTGAGGCAATTTACACCTCTGATAAAATCAACACGAGGGTGTTTAAAAATACAGAATTTATTTCAACAGAGGATCAAAAGAAAAATATAATTAGAGAGAATAATAATTGAATATTTAATAGTGGGAATATGGATGCGTGTGATAGTCCGGGTATCCATTACACATTCACCGATGCCTCTGTGAATAAATTAGGGCCCAAAAGGGCTGCAGACATTTTAAAAGTTCAAGTAACTAGTTCTTCGTACCAATTTATGTTACTATTAGAAGCAAGATTTATTCGAGAAAAATTGAGACCTGTAACAATTTTTAGCCGCACATTTGTACACACAGAAAAAAACAAATTAAATTATAAAATCGCTTTTTTATTTCCAAAAAACTCATTTAAACTTTATAAAAAATGTTTGCACTACCCTAAAAACATTCAATGCGGCAAGTCTCTTTTTGCACAATGCGTCTAGTTTAATCGATGTTGCGACAGAATTTTTACATTTGCGAAGATGAAACGTCAAAGATACCTGTTAGCGACACTCCTGCCTCACTGATTCCTCAGAATAGACGCCGAGAAGAGATAACCAGTCATTTTGATCAAATAAAATGTTTATTCGAAAATTAGCCCGAAAATCTTTAAGAGATCCTTTGAGCGACGTAGTTAATGAACGGTGACTTTTCCTTTTCCAACCCCCAAGCGACAGCATCGTCGTCTTTTCCGAGGGGATGATGCACTTGGACGACTTTGAACCCCGCGTTCCGCATCATTTTTTGAATGTCCTCGCTGCTCCAAAAAGTGTCATGGAACACCAGGTCGCTCACTTTCATGTACTCTTTGACCCTTTGACCACTGCGGAGATTCTCATTCTCCCGGAACCGCGTGGAGGTGAACGTCCACTCTGTATTGTAGGTGTCCGGATTATTGTCCACCACTATGAGCGTGCCACCCACTCTCAGCACTCTACTGATCTCGTTTAAAATATTCTGTAGTTCATTCTCAGTCTCGATCCGCAAGAACACGTGTTTCACGAATACGAAATCGTAATGATGATCTTTCACCGGGATCTCGCCGTTTTTCGTTACTTCGTAGTGTCCCGTGGGATCGTTTCGCCGCGCACTTTCGATCATGTTTTCGTTAATGTCCACCCCGTCCACACTCAGTCCCATTCCGAGGGATTTCAAAAAGATTGAGGATCTGCCACCGGCACAGCCGAAGTCCAGTGTCTTGGTGCCCGACACGTATTTTTTTATGAGGCCCGGCACATCGCGCACTTGCAACGCGTAATATTGATCGAAATTCAATTTCGCGAAGTAACTTTCGTAGGTCAGAGCCATTTTTTTGCAAAAATTGACCGAAACTTTGAAATATCTGAATTTCAAGGCCTAGAGATGATCGTAAGTATTTAAAAAAACAAAAAGAAAATGTATTTTAAAAACTTCACTTGATTTTTTCCTTGCTTGTGTGCTTTGTGCAAAAGTGTCTGAATAGTACTTTCAATTTAATTTTTCCGTTTACTTTCACGTGAGCCCTGCCAATCTTGGAAAAATGCGATTATGACCGACAACCGCGTCCGTTGAAGAAGCAAACGCACTCGAAAAAAAATAACTCCACAGACAAACACTGAGAGGCTAATGTTGCTACAAAATTATAAGTTCACGTTCATATTTATTGCTCCAATTTTATCAGTGTTTGTCTAGCCTGGGAGATAATTGTGTTAATTAGGAGGCTTTGCGATCAAATATTTCGGCACAGGCACGTGGTCATGCTTACTTTCCTTTTCTGATTACCAAATTATCGCAATCAGGTATGAATCGCGGACGGGCAACCTGACTTATCATACAAATTAGAGAATATCAGTTTTGTGTTTGTTAATTAAAACTTTTCACTCTCAAAACGCATAGACAACTCGAGCCGAAGCAAGTTTTAGACTCATTTGAGTGCGATTTATAACTGAAGTATTTTCTCTGTAAGTTCTATTGATGAGTTTACGAGCTCCCCGCATTACAGTCAGGTAAAATTTTGCTTAGCTAAACACTAATAATTTGCCCAATGAATTCTTTCATTCAACCAACATTTATTTCGGTTTTTTCTTGCGGCGAATAAAACATAAAACATTTGAATTGACTGTTTTTGATGTGGTTCTGTTTTGCATGATGCTCTCAACATGCCCTGTAGTATTTAAATTTTCACTTCCGTCAAATTTCCGCGAGTGGATTTTGTTCAAAATTTTGACTTGCCACGGAGAAAAAACTTCGTGTTTGGGACCCGAAGTTGAGGTCATATGGATCTCTGAAGTTTTCGGATCACGCATCCAAAAACTTGAGGTCCAACTGCCAAAGTTCGGGTCAAACACCTGAAGCATTTCGGTATAACCCGGAATACTTCAGATGTCTGACCCAAACTTCGGCAGCTGGACCTCAAGTTTTCGGATGCGTGGTCCGAAAACTTCAGAGATCCATATGACCTCAACTTCGGGTCCCAAACACGAAGTGTTTTCTCCGTGTACTACCGACCTTCGTTGCATCAAAACGAAATTCCCACCGGGTGCCTACAATATTTGGATTTTATACTGGCAGAAATGACGACCGCGGCCAAAATTCTTGAACCGCCTCCCGAGGTGGGACCAAAAGGTGGATATGGATGCAAAATTTTGCCAAAATGCATCAAGTAGCTGAGTCTAGCTCTCGACTTTAGAAGAACGTTTTTCTCATAAAGTTTGCAACCTTGCAGATCCGGTTAAAAAATTTGACCAAATCCACTCGCAGAAATTCGCCTCTCGTCTACAGCGGTGCATTTGGCATCGCTCTGGTGCGGCGACGTTTAATTTGGCAAATGAATTTACGCTGTTGACGTTGGTCGTTGTCGTTGATGTTGCAGGAATGGAATGATTACAAGCTGAAATGGAACCCGGAGGAATACGGTGGGGTGGATACGCTGCATGTACCATCCGAGCATATCTGGTTACCGGATATCGTCCTTTACAACAAGTGAGTCGACCATTTATGCGATTACCTCCGCTCATGCATTGTCACCGAAAATCCCCCAAAAACCCCCTATTCCCATCTTCGCCTCACTTGATACAACCCCGCTCGAACGCATACCGGCAAGTGTGGATGCTCAGCGCCACCGCACTCCCTCATAGTTGCCAGTCTGTACGAGGATTGAAGCATTTTTTTCCATAGCAGGGTGTCTACAAGTCCGAAATTTCCGGAAAGTTTGGAAATAGTACTGATTTTTCCAGGGCGGTTTGGAAGTACTGAAAAAGTGCGGAAATTTTGCAAGAAAGTCCGGAATTTTTTTCATTTTTGTCTCTAGTTGAGCAGGAAATTCAAATTTTTGAAATTTTTCGAATTTCGTCCGTTGAAGGTATTGAAAAAGTACTGAATTTTTCTGTTGAAGAGGTACTGAAATTCTTGGGAATGTACTGTAAAAGTACTGATTTTTGGCCAGCCTGTTTTAGTAGACACCCTGCATAGGGACGTAAGTCCACTGGACGATCTGAAAATAATCTGTTGTGCACTAAAGATTCCGTTCAATAAATATACCTTTTGTACCTGTAAAACCACCACAAATCATATTAATTAGGTCATAAAAGTCTGAAACCTACTTCTTAGGAGCCGTTAGGGGGAACAGGGGGCCAGAGTCTCCCTATCGGAGTCTTACAAAGGGTAAAAGGCCAAATAGGCCGGGCCGCGGGGGGGGGGGCAATTGGCTTATGTAATTACCCCTCTTAAAAAATATTATTTTCCATCAGAAATAATTTTTTCAGTTACTTTCAAAGATTTCAAACTCTCTATGCTCGATGCAATCGCAAGGTAGACGCATAAACGAAAAAGGTATACTTGCATTGGAATTTTTGAAGAAAGAAACCTGTTGAATTGCTACTAACTTACAATTAGAATGGATGTACAAGAAAGTGAAAAATGTGTGTAAGAGCAAACGCACTATAATAAAACCATCTAAATTTCCATTTAAAGCTAGAAAATTTTAGGGGTTTGTTGTTGTAACTCTCTTGTAAATAAATCACGTATATGTGTAATGTGATTCCGACTTGAAGTATACCGAGCATCGCTTCCCTCATGAGGATTTTGGGAATTACCTCGCAAACAATCATCGATTTCTCTCAAGCATAAATTTAAGTAATTTCAAATTTTGTTTTTCTTATTAGAAAATAAAAGTAAATACTAAAGTTTTGAAACTATTAACATTATCGAACCACGGAAAGGTAAATGAATCATGAAGAGGTTGGCAACACTCCGCAATGCTCATTCCTGCTCTCATCTCACTTCTCGTTATAACCCCCCCCCCTCCTAACCGACCACGAGCCCTCACACATCATTCCTCCTTCAAACCACATTTTACCAAATTAACTCCCCCTCCCTCCTTTATTTTTACGCGCTGGCGTTTCAATGCTATCCGAATGAAATCACAAATAGGGAGGAAGATCCCTTCAGCTCTTGAGTTTAACTATGGTAACGTTTAATCATATTTATGGCATTATACCGCGCAGACTTGCCAAATGGATGGTGCTTTTAAGGTGATCTGATTATTCGCGGTGCAGAGGGCCACTTTTGCAGATTGGTAATATTGGGTTTCGTCAATATGAATGTATTTTAACCCCATAGCCTGGTCGACTAGGACGCATTAGAGTTTGCTGCAATTGATTGGAATCGAGGAATAGGGTAATTAATGTGACTGTGCGGTAACTCGTGACTCCTAATAGGTCAAATTAAAATGCACCAAAAATTGGAAAAATGAAGATAAAGAAGAAGAGGAGGAGGAGGAAGAGGTTGAATAAGGATAGGAAGTAGAGGAAGAATAATAATTAATGTAAGAGGAGGGAGAAAGACGAAGAAAAAGAAATTATCCCCCATCCTCCTCCTCCTTTCATCCTTAGACTTCCTCTTTTTTCACTCTTCTTTTGTCTCCTCTTCTGTTTCTTCTTCTTTCTTCACCTCCCCTTCCTCTTCTGAACCCTCTTCTTTTCATTCCTCTCCTCGACGGATTGGATTTCTTTAAATGTAGATTAGGAAGATGGTATCATAATTTCTGATATATTATAATTCTATGGTATAAATAGTACAAGATTTCTATAATAATATAATAATTATATTATTCTATTTCAGCGCCGACGGGAACTACGAGGTAACGATAATGACGAAAGCCATCATCCATCATACGGGCAAAGTTGTGTGGAAACCACCTGCCACCTACAAATCTTTTTGTGAAATTGACGTAGAATACTTTCCTTTCGATCAGCAAACCTGTTTTATGAAATTCGGCTCTTGGTCATACGATGGTTACACGGTAAGGAAGAAAATCTTTTGCTTTACTCTTTATTAGTTTTGATGCATTTTCACGAAAACTTACTGTTGTGAGCTACAAAGCGTATCTGCTACATCAGTTAAGAAGCATCTGTCAAAGAAGGTTTAGGTAGGTTCCACGTATTTCACACTTGAAATAAAAGCTTCCTTGGGAACTAACGCTAACGATAAAGCTTTCTAGATCGACGGTGGTGACTAGAGTGCCTAAAAAGAGAGTCCTTTTTCGCTCTGTAATTGGTTTACTAGTTTTATATCAGGTTTTTCATGGGACTCTGAAAGCCCAATGTGAACCAACTCGAACAAAGGAAATGTGTATTTTTAAGGGAAAAATAAATAATACCTTCAGAAAAAGTGTAATTATCGGCAAAAATATTCAAGAAAGTTTCCTGAAAGTTCATTTAAGAAGTTAGAAACTCTCATCGCGTCTAAAGCTTTGTTGCCATCCTGCTTGTTCATATTCAACCCTAAGAGCCTCACGGAAGCCTCGCAGATCAATCAGAAATCGGTAAAGTTTTTCTGCACTATTTTTAAAAATATTGAAATGGCAATACTCTCCCCACATAGATATTCTATCGCAACTTGATAAGGTTGTCGCATCGCAGTCCAACCGCATTCCGTTCGGAATGAACAGACGAGAGTGGATATGAAACATACATACATAAGAGTCGCTCTCTCAGCGCTCTCTGGCGCTCTGCGACGCCTACCCGCCACAAAAGTCAGTCCTCCCAGAACCCATCAGACTGAGACTGACAACTATCTGATTGGTTGTGGGAGGTTATGAAACACCTCTCAGATTTAAGACAGAAATGCTGATTCTGCGTCATAATGATTAATGCCTGTTTTCGTAAGACAAAATTGCTCATAGAGAGTAATCTCAATGAGTGGTAATTTGCTCTAGCTGTATAAAGCAACTTAATTAACGACCATTTGAGGGGCTACTATGGACTACGGGCGCGTTTAGAGGCTCTCTGGAGTCTGTGGACTCATCGCCAACCCAACATAACCTTCTGGTAAGTGGCGATTTAGCAAATTGGTAACACTGAATTTCTTGCATTTATATTTACATATGTGGAACAATCGATTCTTGGTGAGGCAGCTTATCTCACCTGAAATCGATCTTTTTCTTGGATTTAAATGAAGTATATTACCGGTATTGCCAACTGGCTAGAATCGTCCCAGCGGGCTGTTGTTGAAATTGATAGACAAAGCGATAGACAAAGAATACATAAGGAGTATGGATCGATCCTATTGGTTGAAATAGATGGTTCTTACAGACTAAAGGAGAAAATAATGGACTAACTAAAGGGTCTCTGGTGGATTGCCTTCAGTTGTTAGTCCATTATCCCACCTCCTCTGTCCATCGCAACCACCTCTGATAAAAATTGGCGATAAGAGGTGCGTTTCAAAATACCATAGGAATTCTTATAGCCGGCTAAAGAAGGCTACAGAAAATCATATAGCTGGCTGTAGAATGCGGAGAAAATCATACGGCCGGGCTATACGAAACGATAAAAAATTAGGCAGCCGGGCTATAGTTCCTATCGCCGGGCTTTACACTTTATCGCCTGGCTGTTGCTTTTTCGCCATCGATTATAAAAGGCTATAAGAAATTGTGTAGAAATTCGTGTGATTTGAAAATCATTAAGGTTGATACGCGGAACCACCTTAATATTTACAAAACACACATTATATTTTCCTTTAATACATATTTTTTTTTCATCAATGAAAATGAGAATAACCCATACAGGATGTGCAAACATTTCAAAATCATGAGTTGAATAACGTTGACTCCGCCAGATTAAATATTAGAGCCTAACACAAAGCGGAGCGGCGACG